TTCGTACTTAATTGTAAGGTCCTAACATCATTATTTTAGACGAGGGAGACCGGACAGTACAAAAATTTGAAACATGTTTTCGTGGACAAGGAATAGTCATGGAAGGTATAAGGAAAAGATCCAACGTCACGAGGTATCGTAGGAATATTAAAAAGAAAAAGAAAAGAAGAAGAGAAATAAAAATCGTTCTATAAATTACGTTTATTCGATAATAAACGTCAACGTATGTAAAAAGAAAAGACACTTGTTTCAATCCCAGGCTGGAAATTTCATTAGAAACACGATACGATCGTTAATTAACGTGTAATTAGATCGATCAGCACGTGTAAAAAGAAAGTTAAAAACTCAACGAGGAACAATTGAATATACACCGACGAGATTGAATTGATATTCAACCAAGGTATCCGTTATCCCCAGCTCCCGTTCTCCTCGATACGAAACACAATCAGTTAATTTGTTAACCTATCTACTATGTACACGTGTTACTATACGCGTATGCATGGCTGGATCGGCGCGTACAAACGTATTCTGTATACGTACATATGTGTACAGATTTTTTAAAACGTTGCTAAAATTCTGCTTCGGGAAAATATGCAAAGGTCTTCCATGTTTTTTAAGACAGACGTACAGATTCGCATTTTAAAATTACTGTAATTTCACCATTAATAATAACCGAAACGTTTACCTTTCGAATAATTCCAAACGTAGAATGTCACAGAAAAACGTTTCTTGATTACTTTATGACAGTTTTGAATTATTTAAGTAACGTTGAATTTTTATTTTACTTCGAAAGAATAATTCTAGTTCAAATTTGTCGATAATGTGCGTGGAACGTATTGTAATCACGAGCAACAAATCATTTAGGTTTTTGCTTTTGAAGGACACTATTTTCCTCGCGTCACCTGTATTTTACACTCACATCGTTTTCCGTTCATCGATTAGTCTTTGCCGTATTAAGCACAGCCGTCGACTTTCGCGCCTTGGTAGTAACGAACACTTTTGTTTACATAGTCGACACCAGGAAACCATAACGAGTCTATCAATTCGTTAACTTTACTTATTAAACGGATGATCTATTTGACGAAGAAACGATTCTGAATGTACAGCGTTCATAATTATTCGAACAACAATGAAATTTAATTTATTGCTTAAATTAAAGAATTTATTTTTAAACAGTAAACAGCAGATTAGTGGGTAAGACCATTTAAAACTGTACAATGATATTACTTCGTAAAGTGATTGTAGAACCGTCGAAATTTAATTTTCTTATGCTGCTTTAAATAGTGCTCGTGTTTACCAAAACAATAATGAATTTTAATTTTGTTTCAGCTGTGCTATTATTTCGTGCTAAGTCGATAAGTTTATTTTTGAAAAGTGTGTACACCTTTAATAGTTCACGTGACATATTACGCAGTGATAAAAATGATGGAAAATAAGGTTCAAATTTAAGTAAACATATACATATACTATAAAAGATAATGAATTTAATAGCAATATGATCATACGATAATACTTTGTAGAATATTAACTTTTAAATTGTAGAAGAGGCAATTTTTTCTACTATCATTTTATGCACTATTCCTTTATAACTTAAAGTTAGAAATCTGATCAATACGTTTCGTGGTAAAAATATAATATATTCTTCTATCAAACTCATATATTTTTTTCTTATTTCAAAAATAATATTCTTTACGTAGCTGTATTCAACACCTGTTGCTCTTATAATTCCACGTGCTAGAATAAACAATTGGTTTCATTGCAACCTTTTACTCTAAACAGAATAATCCTTTTGAACTATTCTGTAATAAATGTTTTACACTTTATCATTTATAATATTATAGTTAATTACCTTATTTCGTTAAACATTTCACTGAATAAACTTGTTTACCGGTTATTTTAATTGTTTTTCTGTCAGCACTGAGACCTCTTGCTGAGACAAATAATCCTATTTTAAAGGACTAGTATGACTACATCCCATTTTGAAAATTACAATAAAATTTGTTTTCGAAAAATGTGAGTTTATTATTTTCCGTAATATTATATTACTGCGTGCTTCGTTAAAAAAAAATCTGCCTTGAAAGGGTTAACAGTTTAACTGTTACGTGCAACCCTTCAATAATTATCAATGCATTATCAAAATAAGAAAGTAAATGCTAGTAGAGTCGTTCAAAGAACCACGATCCGTACATTTTTCATTTCTTCCTTCAAATTGTTTTTTCACTCCCTTCCAGGGAGGAACAAGAAAGAACACGAAAGATTTCTGTAGCTGTCCGTTCGCGTCAATGTTCGCCTCGTTATCGGACGAACACACGGAAAAAGTATTAAATTCGCTTTCTACATAGAGCCGTTTCTTGTTTCAGAGGAAAAACTGGAGAAAAAGCTCCATTTCACAAACGATCCGCGAAAGTTCCGCGCACCGACACTCGCCACACCCGTTCTGCTGCCAACGCTCCGATTTTATTCATTTTCGCCACGGAAACTTGTTAATTCCGCGAAAGCCACCGGGTGAAAGAAACGATACAGGCTCCGGGGAAATCTGTAAACTCGAACATTATAAAACTTACGCCCGCACCGCGCGGGACAGACCAACGAACTTTCACGGGACTTGGCCGCGCATGTACAGCAAGAAACATTATTGTTGCACACTAAAACATCTTGCGTTCTCCTCGCGCCGCTTAACGGGAACCCGAAAAATTCGCGAGTCTTAATTAAATCCGCCGTTATATGTTTTCGAACGACGAAGACACCTTTCTCCTGCTTTGTTAGATGGTGCTTTTGGAAGCTCGATGCGATTTTACGCGTTTGTTTCGAGAGACTAGTGTCGCTCTTTTTGTACTTTTGATTTTCACTTGTCCTCTTCCGGTTATGGTTATTAGTAAGAAGTATGAGATGTAGGTACTGCACATTTGGATTATATTGTGAAAAAAATTGTTCCATCTAATAACCGTTGTAATTATCTATTGAATGTGATAAATATTCCTTTCGACTATTTTAAACAGTACTTCAAATTTTTATGTACATATGAAATTCTATTTTTCTTTCCGTTTTTATCTGAATTCATTGAAAACTGCATATTTTTAGTGCAAAGTAGCTTTAGATATGTTTAGTACTTCAACAAGGACATCTTATGTTAACTAGTGTAAACGAAAAGGTTCATTAATTTTTCTTAGCCTTTGAAAAATTTAAACATTTTTTATATGATCTCTAATAGCTTTCATTTTAATCTGTCACAAATTCCACTCATTCCATATCATACAATTGCACTTTACATATACCTTTATGTTTAACTAAAATGTTTCATAACATTTTCTTGCATTATATACCTCATAAAAACTAATTTACTTTATTATATTAATAAAATATGGTTAAAAGCACCAATTAAACGAAGAATAATTCTAGTGAAATATTACATCGAAGTTTTTTTACTTTTTAATGCAGAAATTGAGATAGATATTTCCTTTTCTGTCCTTAAAATTATAGTAAAAACTTCTTCGCCTTAAAATTCTTTTACAACTGACACTTGTGTCCTACGAAATTTGCAAAATGATGCTACATTTTTTCACCGAGGAATAAAAACGAAAAGAATAATTAAAATCTGTAAGATATATCAAAGACCGTTGCATATTTTCCGAGCTATCCGCCCGTCATATCTTACCAGGATGTCTTATTTTCTATCCTCGGTTTAATAGTAATCGTAATAATCATCATCACGTTCTTACCGTAGTCATTATAGTCGCTTCGAACGAACCTAATTCAATATACAATCTCCACACGAAAAGAAAAGAAAATACCTATCGCCGCTCGCGACTGTCTTCATGAACTTTAACCCTACTTAATCGAAATTTCCGTACACCACATACGTACAGTGCTACGATAAACATAAGTGATTACTAAAAAGAGTACATAGAAATCGTTAGAGCCGCACGTTCGTCAGGCACCCGATCGGATCGCCTGATTCCATTTGAAAGCCGTTCTTTTCTTAGAATATGGCCCGCCATTTTGTTTCCGTTCATCATTAATGAGCTTCTTCTCGCTCCAGTTCGCCCGGCTACAAGCGATCCGTGAAATCATCGTCACGGTGCACGATTCGCACGGATCATCCGACGGCGCAATGTCGTTAAGCATTTGACAGCCCGATCTCGATCGAATGGGATTGAAAAATAATTTGCTCGTCCAGCTGGAATATGAACGACAACGAAGCTGAATATTTCGCGACATCTTCTCGAATACATTTTACATCGTACACGTATTATAATGTTATCGAATAAATGTATATAAATATCCGACACTTTGCCGGGATAATCGAACATCATCGTTCTTATCCTCCTCGAGAGTTTCAAGACCTTTCGGAGAACCGACGAGAGCCAGCGAGGTCTTCGACTTCCAGCCTAGATTCTTTGTCTCTTTTCCCTTTCAAAAATCTCGACAAGCCTCAAATCAAATTTCTCTTGAACAATCCACGAATTTCTGCAATGAATTTCTAAGGTGAACCTTGACCAGTCTCTTCTCCCCAAATGCCAACAAAATTGAAATGAAGTGTATTCGAAAATGAAAGGAAAAGCTTGACGTGATGGTAACACGTCGCCAAATATCAATTCGAAATAAAACCTTTGAAGATAAAACGATATACACGAAAATGGACAGAAAATTAAGAAAATAAAATAAAAGATGGGACAGAAGAGAACTCCATTTAACGGTCGATTTCAATAGTACGCGTGGACGTAGATCAGGTTGTGGATTGGATGATGGTGGGCATGGGGATTGTGCAGAGGGGTACAGAAGGAGGTAGTGGTGATCGTAGTCGGGGATGGTGGATGATTGACAGATTGCATCGTGGAAACGGGCGACACCTGATTGGGGGGACCGGCCGGCACTTGGTACACGGTATTGGGCGCGGCCATTGGGCACCTTGAGGCCCCGGCTGCGCCGTGTTGGGCCCCATGCTGTTGTTGTTGTTGTTGCTGTTGTTGTTGTTGAATGTAGTTTGGTGGTAGACATACCTCGAGGCGGTCTGTACGTTGCATCTTCTGCGGCATCGCCACCGTCTGCGGCACCACGCCCAACGGGCTACCAACTCCAGTGGGGTCCGCCGGGCCCATGATTGCTGGCATGATGGGACTGGGCGCGAAATACGGGTTGTACGTGTTGCCAACCTGCGGCATACCGGTCAGGTACGGATTCGTCGCCTGTGAAAACACACCCGGAAAGTATCCAGGTAACACGGATTAGAACAAACCTATCCCCACCTTCGCTCCACGCGAGTCATTATCGTTTATGCCCCCGATTTTACATATCATTATTGCTAGAGCTCTTCGCTTTTCAGCCAACCCTGACAAGCGCGAATATACCGTAGTCCCATCCCGTTTTATGCTGTGCTTTACAAGCACAATTCTCCCGTTGCTCCGCACGGTTTACGTGATCGAGACTTCGCGAGCCTTCTGAGAGATTTCTTATTCGATGTTTGCTGATTGGTATTTTTATGCTTTTCATGTTTGTAAATCGTTTGTCCCGCGATCGAATGCTCGAATATGACTAGTTTCATTTTTTTTTTTCACATTTTATTTCTAAGATAAGCGAACATTTTGCCGAAGAGTTGATGTTTTATTTAGGATCACGTGTCTTAGAAGTTTAAAAGTAAAATATCAGCTTTTGCTTAAAAAGTCATCGATAAAAAAGCGAAATATCTCTTACATTTTAGAAAAAAAATTTCTTAAAGAATGAACAATTTATAAATACCTTACTATGTACATATTATCAAATCATCCTTATAAAGTAAGCTTGTTACGAATTACTTTCAACTCTCTTCGTCCTATTCATTTCTATTATTACTACAATTGAAACGCTAAGAATATAATTGCTTATATATAAACAATATAATTGCCTCTTATAGAATTTACACTTCTCCTCTGCAACAGCATTATTGATATCAAAAGTAGAATTGAAAATATATCATGAACAAGATTACTTTAACCAACAAACATCGTATCTCTTACGAAAACCTTCAAAGGTCACAACACTTTTTCCTTCACGAATGCAAACGCGACCATGTCGAATCAAATGAAAAGAAGATTAGAGCGAGATTAAAATAACTCGAGCATCAATTCGTACGGTATTCCTCGCTGCAACTAGAAATTTTAACGAGACGTGGAAAAGCATAACCAGCTTATACATTCGTATCATAGATTCGCGAAGAAAAGAGGAGGCTGTATCGCTTGCGAAGCCTTAATCGTTCGTTTCTTTCTGGTGGCAACCGCCGTTTGAACGATAAGCGCGCGTTCCCATAAGAAGCGTTTGGTTTTGCAGAGAACGGGCTTCCCAGAAGCGAAGGCAGGTAATTTGAAGCGCAGCCGAATGAGCTGTACGCCCGTTCCTTCTTCGTAAGAACCTGTGTGCTTGTATTCTTCAAACTTTCGCCGACGTACAGAAGCTTCCGGACAACTGAGGTACGCTAACCATCAAAAAAATTTCAAACCGACCCACCCCCTCCTTTCGAGCTGTGCGATAATGGCTGTTGATCCGGGAAATCGTTTTCCTGTTACGTTCCGGGGAAAACAATTATTTTCTACCGGGAAGCTAGCGTACCTCGGTCGTTCGTGATCGTTTCACGTGTTTCCCTCACTCTCAAGCCGATTTCCAAAATGAAATCGATATTGTAATTGTAATTCGGTAATTAGTGCTAGAAATAAATATGCATATGCAATTATTTCTCTGATTGTTGAAAATGTAAAAAGACTGTCTGACGTGAAGTTCTAACGTATATGAAATCTCCTTATTTGTTTGTTAACGTAATAATGCATAATTACAAATTTAATTTCAGTAATTATTCCAAGTTAAACTTAAGATTTTCAGAAGTTACGCTTTTTCATAGAAATGCAAAGTTTTCTTTACAGTATTTCGAATGAAAATTTAAATGAAAGTACGTTATTCACAATTCGAATAGAAAATTCTAACTTCAGATTGAATTTTAAGATAAGAAACTATTTTTATTTCTTCAACATTATTTATATAAAAGTAATTTCTTGCACAATTTTGCAAAAAAATTGATTATTTTATAGCAATTTCTTATGGAAAGAGGAAAGAAAACGAGAACAAGGATAAAGGATGTTGGAAAAGAAAGATTGCGCTTCGTCTTGGGCATCCTACTGAACTCGTCGGTAAGGCTACCTAGGAAGCCGGGACTTAGACGCGGGAAATGGTTAGACTCATTGTCAACTCAAAAGTTGTATTTGCAAGAATAGAAGCCTGATAGAACATAGAAGGTTGAAAGCGTAGGGGGTATAAGTATACCGTCACAAGTTAAACTATTTTTAAGTAAAACTTTTGCGCGGACAGTCTCTTTACACTTTCAATACCTTAAGAAATAACTGCATAAATGTACTTTGAACGAACGTATTACATCGAGTATACAAAACAGCAAAAAAAAAAATGTTGTTTAAGTTAAAGATTTTTCAAAAAGGGAGAGAAACGTGACGATCTAACTTGGCCGCAAAATAACTCATGCTTTTAAGGAGAACTCTCTAAAGGAAATCTGTTTAAAACGTATGAAGAAACTTCTTCTCTTTCGGTAAAATAAAATGAAACATCTCGTGAAGCATGCAAATCAAGACTCAATCTTAATTTACAGTGCGGCACTCTCTTAAAACAAGTCGAAGCTTTCATACAAACGCTTACTAGTCTTACAGGCACATTAACACGCACGGCATCGTCACCATTAAAAAAAATCTGCCTTCTTACAGCGTGCCATTTCAATTTTGGTATTTTCATCAAGGAATAGTATCAAGAAGAAAAATAAATAAATAATACGCTAAGGAATTTTGAAAAATAAATACTATTACTCTTAACAGATAATATTTTTTTCAGATTGATTTTGCAGGTGGTCGTTGCCGTATCGTGGCACTTTAAGTAACTAAAAAATTAGTGGAAGCCAACCAAAACCAGGAGTTACCATAAAGGCGTGGGTAGCGAGAAGTTGCTGCTGGATTTGCTGTTGAAGGTGATGGTGTGGTGCGGGAGGTGCCGGTGCCTCCTGTTCACCAATGACGTAATTGGAGAACACACCAACAATCAACCACAACCACGAGAGCCACAGCGGCAAACATAGGGGACAGACAGGCAGTCATACGAGTAGTATAGGGTTCGATGTCACGTAGCAACGACTATGAATTATATGTCATGAAATAAAAGGCGGGTGGGCGTAATGATGATCTGATTTCTCGGTGAAAATTCCTCTAGTCGCCAAAAAATATTTTGGGGGAACGAATATTTTTTCTTTACTTTCTCGACATTCAATTTTGTTTGCGTGTGCACGCACCTGCATGTGCGACCATGCGAGAGAGAGACAACTTTATCGAACTACTGAACATTATCTTTATTTTTATTCTTCTTTATAGAAAATATGGTAAATTTTGTGGATTCGCCGAATAACGTGTATTGTGATTGAAAAAAAGTAATAAAACGTTGACGAACCAACAAAATATAGTTGTATGTGCCTCTCAATTTATAGTTCGTGATACTTGACGGCAATCTAGGAAAAGTAACAAATAACTACGGTTCTTTCTATATGGCAAT